CCATCCATCGTTCCCATGGAATAGGAGACACAGGAACACTACTGCTGCTGGGGGCTGCGGACCCCCGCTCTGCTCTCGTGTGCAGCTTCTCCCGGGATGTCCCTGTGCTGCTGGGACACGGCCACTGAGATGGGCTCACGCCTTGAGGCTCTGGGAGTCCGTGCGGGAGCCAGGTTTGCCCGAGGACAGTGAAGAGGAGCCGTCCCCCCGAGGGCCCCGTGCCGGGCAGCAGGCGGTGGCTGTGTCCCCGTGTGTGTGACACACAGCCGTGGTGTGTCACAGGCAGTCACAGTCCGTGGTCACAGCGGCAGTGCCTGTCCCGTGTCCCGCCGGGACGTGCCGAGCCTCACGGTGACTCGGGGCAGCTCCGGGGCCCGGCACAGCCCGGCAGTGCGAACTGGGAGCGCCGCAGCCCCCGCAGCCCGGGCCCGTCCCCAGGCACTAATCCCGGTAAAGCCATCACCACAAAGCTGGAAAAGGGAAGGCAGCGGGGGTCCAGCTTTGCCGGACCTGGCCTGGGTGTCGGGGCTCTGCTTTTCCTGTTTCGCCCTCTCCTTTTTACTCCTCTACTTTTTACTCCCGGGACAGCCGATTTTGTGTCTTTGCTGCACGTATCGTGCGAGGTGTGGGAGCTCTGTGAGCGAGCCGTGGGAGAGTGGGAATTGCTCACACCTCCCCGGTCTGGGGCTTGGCCAGAGTTACATCCTCGCAAGCAAATCTGCATTCGCCAGTGACACTGGTGAGAAAAAGAGCCCGGGCAGGGACCCAGCCATGCAAATGTTCGGGACTGGCAGGTGGGGGCAGGACTCGGCCTGGGAACGGGGCCAGAGAGGGAGAGGAGAGAGAGAAAAAGCAGGGGGAAAAAACGGAAAATAAAAAGACTAATCTGAGAACCCGAATTTTAACTGCAGCTTGTAGCCAGCTCAGTAAGCGGAGAGGAGCCGGCAGCGGTGTGAGGCTGGGCCAGGCTCCCTGCAGAAGCAGTAGTCCCACGCAGGGATTTATTTACCCACTCTCTTCTCAGGCGGGGGGAGGACGTGGCGAGAGGCGGGGAAGGGCCCCGGAGCTGCGATGCCTTAAGCGAATGGTCACGCCGAGAGGCGCGGAACAAATTTCCTCTCCTCGGGAGACGTGATGGCCAAATTTGCCCGTGCCCGTGAGAGCCTGCGGGAGGGAGCAGGGCCGGCTGCCACCGGCTCAGAGCCGCCCCGGGGCTGGGCACGCCGCAGCCTCTTCCAAAAAACCCCAGCGGGTCGTGCCCGTCCCCCCGGCCGCGGCAGCGAGAGCGCAGCCGCCCCCCGAGGCCTCCTCGCAGGGAGCCGGGGGGACGGATCCGGAGCGGGCGGCGAGGGGCGTGCCCCCACTTAATTCATTAAAATGTGTCGGAGAGCGTGGGAAAGACGGGAGCTTTTCTTCCCAGCGCAGAGCCCCGGCGAAAGGCGTGCGAGGGAGAGCGCTCGGCCCGCTCGGCTCCCCGGAGCCGCAGGAGGACCGAGCTGTCCCCCGGCGCTGCCCCTCCCGGCTGCGGGGCACAGCGGCTGCCCGAGCCCCGGGGAACGGCGAGGCTCCGGTGCCGCCGAGCCCCGCGGGGATGCGGGGTGCGGGGATGCGGGGAGCCCACCCGCGGCTGCGGCTGCTTGGTGGGAAAAGTCTCCCTTGTGCGGATCCACCTCCGGGGGCAAGAAAAGGGGTCCCTGTACCTGGTGGGGAAGAGCTGGAGGGGGGTCTCAGGGGACACCCGTCCTCTGGGGTCTGAGAGTGGGATTGGCTTTGTGCTCTCCCCGCGACACACCGCACACCAGGAGCCCTCGGTGGCACCCGGACTGTGCCTGGGTGGGCTGGGACCCTGCCAGCCCTGCAGGCAGAGCTCCTGAGGCCAGAGCTGGGGGCTTGCAAGGGAAACCTCGTGCTCTTGTGGTGAGGACATGTGTGGGTGGGTGCCCTGCGTCCTCTGCAGGGAGCACAGCACCACAAGAAAAGGTCTCACAAGTGGTTTGGGAAGTTTTGTGCACAAGGGCATCCTCCTGGGACTCCCACACCACAGGGGCCGCTGCAGGAACACGGTCTGTGGACTGCCACTTCCCACGGATGTCGCTGTAGGTGCTGCTCTGCACGGTCCCTCCCTCCCAGTCTGCGACAAACAGGATTTAAAACCTGGGTGAGACTCAAGCAAGGTCAGAACACTTCACATAGTCATTGTCCTCTGGAGAGCACACAGGCAGGGGTGTCCCTGGGCTGGAGGACACCGTGTTGGGCTGGACAGTTTGGGTTATATTGCTGCAGCTTGGCCTTTAACCGCTCCAGTGCCCCATCTTATCAGTCCTTATCCTGCTGGAAATGCTGCAGCTCTTCTGAGGTAGCCTAAGGTCTCAATGTCTGTCAGCACAAAAATGCTCCTGGAGCAAAAGGCCACCAGCCAGGACATAACTTGGAGCTGGGGAATTCCTGCCCGGTGCCACAGGCAGGGATCTCCAGCTGCACCAGCGTCTCAGTGCTGCCAGGCCATGCCAAGGCATCCCCTTGAGTGGTGTCCCTGTGGCCTCTGAGCACACATCCACCAAACTGCCATGGCTCCAGCCTGAGTTCTGCTAAACTGACACCACCACACGTCCCTGACCTGCTGTGCTGGCATCTGCTTGTGGGGCTTCTGGCCCTGGAAAACTGTGGGGGCATGTGGAGGGACCAAATCCTCACTTTGCAAGTGCTGATAGAGCTGGTTGGAGACACAGACCTTGGTTTTATGTGCCCTGGACCAACCTCCCCACCTTTAGGTCATAATTATCTTGTCCTACATCATCTGAATGAGCTCCAGGATTGAATCCAGTGTCAGTGCAGGGTTTTGGTGCCAGAAAATTGCCATCTCTTGAGACACATGGTTCTTGGGGCCGCTTACCACAGAATCAGACTAGTCTGAGTTGGAAGTGATCTTTAAAACTCATCTTGTCACACCCCCTGCCATGGGCAGGGACACCTTCCACTACCCCATCTTGCTCCAAGCCCCGTCCAACCTGGCTTTGGACACTTCCAGAGGTGGGGCAGCCACAGCTGCTCTGGGCAATCTGCACTGCATGGCCACTCCTTTGTGGTGGCTGCAGGATGGGAATATGTCACCCCAGTGCTCCCACTGCACAGTTCCCCCAGAAGCCTCATTACAGCCCACCAGAGTGTCCTCTGTACCTGCTGACTGCTCCGTGGGGACAGCCCTGGGGTCTGAGCAGCCTCGGGGGTAACACAGCCATAGCCCCATGGTGCCTGGTGAGTGATCCTGCCCCGTGGGAGAAGCATTCCTGTGGTGTGGGACAGCACAAGGGCCAGAGCTCACAGCCAGCTCGGGCTAGATCTGTGTCCAAAAACACATTGGTTTGTTTGAAAACTGCAGCCGAGCAACTGGGACCTCAACTGGAGCATCCGGCTGGAGGAGCGGCTCCAGGACGAGGACAGGCAGTGCTACAGCTCCTGTCTTCCTCCTCCTCCTCCTCCTCCTCCTCCTGTGCCTTGCTGCCTGCCTCAGGGACCAACCAGCCCTAGTTCAAGGCACAAAGTCATGCCAGGGAACACTGACCTGATTTCTATGAGCCGGTCAAATATGTGGCGAGGTTTCCGCTCCAGATTACGGGAGGAAGGAAGTTTGCTCGGAAGGGGATGGGGATAAGGTGGGGGAGAAGGGAGGGAAGTGCATTCTTGCCTGATGAGGAACAGTGTTGATACATTAATTTGTAAACTAAAGCTGGCCTGAGCGTCAAACACCTTGTCCCCGTCAAACTCTGAAGGATGTGCGGGAGTACACAAGGAGAGGAGAGGAACTGTCTGACATCCGATGCAGCCTGTGGTTTCCCAGGGCTGAGGGATGGATGCTGCTCAGCCAGATCTCACCCATGATAAAGAGCAATAAAAGCCTTCCTCAGTGCTGTTTTATCCCAGGGTCTCCTCATGATCACATCCTGTCATGCAAAGACAGGAGCTGAGCACAGATGGAGCAGCTGGGGGATCCATGGGCTCTGGAGTGAGGAGCCCACCCAGAGCACCCCTCCCTGCTGGGGCTGCCCTTCCCACACAGGATCAAACAGCTCCATAAAACCAAGGAGGGCTCATTACTGCCCTAATAAATGTTATTTTATTAGTATGACACATACAATGGGATTTTAAAAAATATTTTTTTTTAAGCAGTCAGATAAGGAAACAATATTGTAAGCTGATTAGAAAGCTGCTTTAATTCCCTTTGATATGTATCCACCATTCAAAAGTGGAACATTTACAATTCCTCCTGGATGCACCTCAAGGCTGATCTGATGTGGAATTTGCTGTTGACCTGTCTATGACTGGAGGTGACCTTGCTGCACACTTCCCACCGTGGCACCTGCTGTGGGCAGCAGGAAGGAAGAGGCGCTGTGCCAGGTCCCATCCACGGCCCCTGTCTCCAGGAGCTGGATGGAATCCCCTGGGAGCTGTTTTGTGCCATGTCCACAGGTACTCGCTGGACTCTGCCCTGGGTTGGTGTCCTAGCACAGCCCTGGCTGTAAGCACAAGAGCTCACCCCTGAACTGGGGGAGCTCTCAAGGAGACAAAGTCCTGCAGTTGGCCAGGAGGTGACCAGGGATCAGAGGGAAAGGCACCTTCTAGGCTGCTGTCCCCAGGGGAGGGACAGGGCCGTGTGTCCCCATCTCCTCTGAGCTCCCCTCCACAGTGGAAGCAGCGGCAGACGAATGTGAAACCCCAGCTCTGGAAAACCCAGCAAGCAAAGGCCAGAAGTACCCGTGGGTGCTCAGATGTGCATGTGACAGTTCTCTCTGTGGTGGATCCCGAAATGAGAGCTCCCCCTTCCCCACTTCCAGCCTCTCTCTGGAAACCCAAGGCAAAAAATCTGCTGAGGTTCACCAGGCAGTCCCCACTCCCCAGGGATTCCCTGTGCTTCCCCTCGGCTCGGCTCAGCTCAGCTCGGCTCAGCTCAGCCCGGCTCAGCTCAGCTCGGCTCAGCTCAGCCCGGCTCAGCTCAGCTCGGCTCAGCTCAGCTCAGCTCGGCTCGGCTCATAAACACTCTGTGTGTCTCCAGAGGCCACAAGAACATCCTGAAATTGGGAGACGATGCGTCCAAAATGGGACCCTTCCCAAAACACTTTCCCACAGCGGGTGCAGCAGTAGAAGTCGGTGAGCTCAGCTCTGTCCAGCACGCCGGGGGGGATGGCAGTGACCTGCAGGACCGTGTCCCCTGCCAGCACCGCGCCTGCCCCGCACTGCCCCGTCCCGTCCTCCCGCTCGGCACCGCCAGGCCGGGCTGTGTCACAGGCTGGCACAGTGACATGGCAGCGCTGGCTCCCCGGGCAGCCTGTGGAGAGAGGGGACAGCAGATGAACCATCAGTCACTGGTGTGATGAGGGACCCTTGGGAGGGGCCTGTCATCCTGCAGGGGCCCAGGCTCTGCCCTGCATCCCAGGGGGGAGCATCCTCTGAATCTGGGAGAAGCTGGTTTCCATCCAGCACTGCCTGCCCCGAGCGTGGCACCCGTGCAGCCCTTGCTCCCCGGCACCTCCTGCAGTCCCCGGCCGTGTCTCGGGGTGTGTTCCAGTCTGGGGAAGGGCACCAGTGCCGCCGCTGTTCTGGGAGCACCGGTTTTGCCTCCCTGTCACAGCTCAGGCCAGGCTGCTCTCGGAGCCCCCACCCCCGGGTGTGTGATGGGCCAAACAAACCGCAGGGAAGCCCTCGCTGCTGATTTAATTAGCGACCAACTGCTAATGGCACCCGCGACCCTCCCGACCAGGCCTAAAATCATCCTGGCCAGCACACGGCACCAGGACACTGGCAGGACGCTGACGGTGTGTGCCTGCAGGGACACTGAGGAATTTGCTCTCTCTCCCAACTGTCCTGCTGCTGGTGGGCAAAGCCAATGGCAGACTCCTCCTTCCCTGCACGGGGGGATGGGAAACCTCCAGCTCCCCCAAACACCCCAATCCCACCCCCCCGAGCCCGTGGGAAAAAGGCAGGCAGGGAGGGAAAGTTCATCCCTTAAAAGCCTGAGGAGAGAAAGGCCGTGATGGTCACCCCGTAGTTTTGCCTTTGCTTGCACCAGCCCCCTCCTAATTGTGGCTCTTCAAAGGATTGAAAATGCTACATCACTTCAAAGTGACCATTTCTGAATGGGAGCTTGTAAAACCCCTTCTCCCCCTCCCACCAAATTCTTCCCAGGGCTTTTGAAGATGCCTGTGCTCCCCTCACCGACAGGGTGAAAGGGCCACCAGACGCCAGGCACAGGATGCCAGGCGGGCACGCGGGAAAACGGAGCTGGGAAAGGCTGGATCCCCCAGAAAATCAGGGGTTTCCAGGGGAAAGGGGGGAGGGGGTTGAGAGATGTTTTTTTCCTCCCCTTTCAGACAGGCAGAGACCTCCCCAGTGGAGCCACAGCTCCCTTGGGACCGCAGCCCAGCTTGCCTGGATGCTGCAGAGCCCGGAGTCACAGCAGAGATGGAGCAAAAGGCATGGGTGCATGGGGCCACGGGGAGCCCAGAGTGTCCTCCCAGCGTGCCGGGAGCTTGTCAGATCCGTGGCTTCCAGAGCTCTGCGAGGTTCACACCAAAGGCTGGATTCCCACCGCATCCCCACAGAGGAGAAAGGAAAGCGATTCCTTACCAAATCGATTCGAAACACTTCTTGGGAACTAATAATCCCATTATAAAACATCTTGAAAATAAAAACCCCTTCGCCTCTCGCTCACCTCTCCCCCTCTTGGCTGGGTCACCCTGGGGATGACAGAGCCTGGGTGAGGGGCTGAGCCCTGCAGCCCCCAGCCCCCCAAGGCTAAGCACCCCCACGTGAGAGCTGCAGAGCTCCACAGGTAGCAACAGTCACCCCCAGCACTGTCCCCAGCTGGGCAGTGCTTAGCACAAGAGCCATCTCCTCCTGGCCTCACACGTGCTGCCCACTCACGGCCCCTGCCCACCCCTGCTCGCCCGTGGGAATTAATCCCATGGGAACAGCAAAAACTGCTGCTGTTCCCACCATGGTGTCTCATGACCGGCAAACGCTGCTGTGCCCAGGGGAGAGGGGATGCTGCAGGATCTCCATTCTCATTTCTGCCTAAGGTTCTTTCCTGAGCTGAGCAAAGCCACTCTCAGTGGTGGGATTCCACCACTTCTGCATGCACTTGTCACCTCTGCAGCAGCCCTGTGTTGTGCTCAAGCCCCTGCTGTATGCCCCAGGGAGGGGTGGGACAGAGCAGGATCGGGGCAAACCTCCTTTGAACCTGTGCCCGTTCCCCTTTCCCAGCCTACACAGCCCTGATTTGGCTGGGAGCAACCTGTCCCCGCTGTGTGAGCCCTGGGCACCCCCAGGGTTTCAGTGTCAGGGTGGTAGCAAACAACTTCCCCAGGAGTCAGGTACTTCTGCCCAAAATCCTGCCCCACAGGCCCTGTTTCTAGCCCAGGTCCCTCTGTGTCACCCCAGCCCAAACCAAGGCCTTGGGGCGAGGAGCTGGGTGCCTGTCCCAGCTGGCTCAGGCAAGAACCAGCAGCTTCTGCTGCCTCTGGAGAGGCTGCGGGTCTGGCAGCCCTGTGACAGCCCTGAGCCCTGTGTCCTGAGCTCTGTGCCCTGAGCCCTGAGCCCTGTGCCCTGTGCCAGCCCTGTGCCAGCCTCGAGCTCTGTGCCCTGAGCCCTGAGCCCTGAGCCCTGAGCCCTGTGCCAGCCTCGAGCTATGTGCCCTGAGCCCTGAGCCCTGAGCCCTGAGCCCTGTGCCAGCCCTGTGCCAGCCTCGAGCTCTGTGCCCTGAGCCCTGAGCCCTGAGCCCTGTGCCAGCCCTGTGCCAGCCTCGAGCTCTGTGCCCTGAGCCCTGAGTCCTGAGCCCTGTGCCAGCCCTGTGCCAGCCTCGAGCTCTGTGCCCTCCACAGCCAGAGCATCACAACCGCGTGCGGGGCTCGGCCACAGCCGGGGCTGGGGCTTTGGGAGAAATTCACAGCTTTGTCGAGGCTTTGCACAAGGCTGAACACAGACCTGGGAGCATTCTTGGAGTACAAAGGTGCATGGGAAACCTCGGCGAGGTGAGAGATCAGCCTGATAAGAGGAGTTACGAGCCTGAGAAATGTGCTGATTGCAGGGCACTGAAGATGCCTGGTTATCTTTTCCTCCTTGATAAGACAGATAAGCAAAGGACAAAGAACCCGGGATTGTGCAACCTGGGCTGCAGCGGCCCGGCCATGATCTTAAGATGTTCCCAGGGTGGAGGAGGGAGGATGAGCTCAAGCAAGAGGCAGCTGCAGCTGCTCGCATCTCCCCGCGCCGCTGTGAGGAGAGCCCTGGCAGCCCCTGCAGCGGTGCCCGGCTCTGAACGGCCCCAGCTCCTTCCCGGGGCACAGAGCCCCTGCCAGCCGGCACAGCAGAGCTCTGCAAACCGGCACAGCTGTCACCGCCTCCCCGCCCTGCTTTTCCCTGTTATTCTGTTCTACCCTGGACAAAAGAGAGCCTAAATGCAAGAGGTTGCCGAAGGGGGCAGGAGATGCCCTGGATCCACGGGGACAACCCCTCAGGAACCCATCTCCTTCTCGTGCAGAAGTGTTCAGAGTAGCCTAAGGCAATGGGGGTGCCTTGGCCCCCAGACTGAGTCTGGTACGAGGAAATGAGGATCCATGGGTGCAAGAACACTCAGAACAGCACAGGGATCTGTCTCAGCACATCTCTCTTTCCCACATGGCAACAAGACAGGTGCTCACAGCAAAGCCAAATACTGTAGCTGAGGGAAGCCTCCAGCCGTGGGGCTTTGGGCATGCAGGGACTCTTCCATCAGAGCTCCTGGCTCAGGGGAGTGGGTCCCACCAGCCCATGCCCTCCCCACCAGTGAGGTGGCTGTAGAGCAGGGATTGTCCTGCTGCCACCCCAGCCTGGAGTGGCTGCCCAGCCCTCCCCACACCGGGCTCTGCTGCTCCTCCTCCCGCCTGCCTGCAGCTGTCCCTGCCGGCTTTTCCCCAGGCTTCGGGTGGAGCCCAGAGCTGAGAAGGAAAGAAAGCCCAAGTCACAGGTCAGGCTGGCAGGGGCCGGGTGGGTGCCCGAGCTGCCCGATGCCATCGTGCCACCCATTGCAGGGACACCTCCAGCCACCCCCAGGGCCACTGGGACTTTCCTCGCACCTGTGTCCAGAGCCCCAGCATGGGAGTGGAGCCTCCACTGAGCTTGGTCAGCACCACAGACCCAAATGTAGCACGACCCATTGTTTTCATGTTCTGCAGCACATTTTAGATGGTGAGGGGGGATTTTACAATTTAAAAAATCTTCACGTCTCCACCACTCCCCTGGGGATGCTGTGGCCCCTTCTGTCCCTGCCTACCCCGGGGCAGAGGATGTTCCCTGCAGGACGAGTCCCTGACAAGGTCATGAGTGGCACGGCCAGCACAGGGGTCCCTCCTGCTCCTTCCCCGTGAACCCTCTCCAGGTCCTGGGGGACCCGGCAGGACACTGCACGGCCCGGTGGGGACACGGGCTGCTGCAAATGGGGTGTAAAGAGTGGAGCAAGGTGGTCCCTGGAGAGTCTGTGGAGGAGCCACGGTGCTGTGTGAGACCCTCCCACTCCATCGACCTCATCCCGAAGGGGGAAGGGGAAACGGCTCCGAACACAAAGCGCAGCACTTCTATTTCCCATACTCTGAAACTGGCTGAACTGGCCCGTCTGGTCGCTGGGTACACACGCAGAGGGTGCCCTCAGCAGAGGAACCGCTGGGAGGATGTCCCGGCCTCTGGGGGAGCGCAGCACTCACTCCCAGGCTGCCGGCACCATGGGAAAAGCGGCCCCACCGCGTTCCTCATGCCCAGATCCACACGGGCAGCTCCCAGCAGAGCCACAGCGGCCAGGAGCGCCCGGGGAAGGGATGCACGAAGGGCTGCGGGCAGAGCCGGGCTGGCCTGGAGCAGCACCACGGCACATTCCCATTGCAGTGTGCCTGCCATGGGTGCGGTTTGACACCAAAATGTGTCTCCTGTGGCAGGGGGTGTGTGTGGGTCAATGGGCACGGCACGGAGGAGCCTGGCTGGGCAGGCGGCACTGCCTCACCTCCGGCAGCCTCACCTGGTTCGAGAGGCACCGGGCAGGTGAGGAAGGCACCGTGAGCAGCCCCGGCCAGGAGGCATTTCACCACCCAAGCTGTTTTTCACGTTCGGGTGATGATGGCCTCAGGCTGTCACTTGAGCTCCTGTTGGCATGTCACCAACACCCCGGGCTGGGCAATCCCGTGCACAGCCCTGTGTCTTACACAGGACAGGACAGCCCGAGACATAAACCGGACTTGGAAGAGCTCTGTGGGTCTGCACCCCGAGGCAGGGTTGATGGCAGGGGACCCTGATCCCCCCCTGAGAAACCCCCAGGCCCAGGGGGATCGTCCTGCTCTGTCCAGGGCAGTGAGTCCCAGGGAAGGGCACAGGAGGGGGGATCACACCCAGCTGTGGGCACCCACCCACTCACCTGCACTGTGCTCCCCTGAGATTTGTCTGCTGCCCTCCGCCAGCTGCCTCATCCTCTCCCGTGAGACCTTCAGGTACTTGTTGCAATTGCACACCTGAGAGAAGAGAGAGGGGGAGGTCATTGAGGTGGCCACCGAGCCCCCCAGGCACCTCCTGCCTGCCCAGGGCACAAACCCGTGCTGGGCACGCCTGGCACAGCTTGGGCAGCCCCCATCACCTGCACCACAGCAGGGAAACCAGCCTGTCCCACCGAGCAAGGACAGGCACCAGCCACAAACCCAGGAACCCCTCCAGGAGTGTCCCCTCTGTGTGTGGTCAGCCACATGTCCAGCCAGGCTGCCAGCACTGCTGCCCACCCTGGCTCCCTGGCCAGAAAACACCAGCAACAGGCTGCCTTAAAGCATCAAGCAGACACCCAAAGTTCGAAAGTTTGGTCTGTCTTGTTTGACAGAGGCTGGGGAGGGTGGCTGTGGACCCTAAAACACTCTGCTCTCATATGGCTCCGCTTGTCTGGGCTCTGCTGCAGCACTGCGAACACTGAGTCACACTTTGTACCCCACCTTTTGCTTCCCAAAATGTACCCAGACGGGTCTGTGAGTGCCCACATGTGCCAGCTGCTGGACCCCAAGGAGCTCCCCAGATCCCACTGCCAAGGAGCACCCAGGGATGGTGCCTGGGGCTGAGCACAGGGTGCAGCTGGCAGCCAAACACTTGTCCAGTCCTCGGGGCAGTGCAGTGCCCCATGTCCCCATGTCCCCATGGCAGTGGGGCGCAGGGCAGCAGCGGGCACACCTCGGAGGAGGAGGAGCAGCCCTGCCTTTCTCACGCTGGGGAAGCCCGTGCCAGCACATGCTTAGTCACTGGTAAATCCCAGCCGAGATCTGCTCTGCCCTCTGTGAAATGGATCTTGGCTGCACCCCCGCTGAAGCAATCCGGGCTCGGGAGCCATGGCGGGCTCGCTTTCCCACGGCTCCCGTGTGAATCACCGGCTGCCGAGCCCCGCACACCGCCGTGTCCCCGCTCCTGTCCCCGCTCCTGTCCCCTCTCCTGTCCCTGCTCCTGTCCCCGCTCCCGTCCCCGCTCCTGTCCCCGCTCCTGTCCCCGC